AAACAAAGAATTCCCGCACCCGGGCTCGGGTAGAACTCCCAGGAGGCGTCCGATTTGAATTCGGTTGGATACGAACACTGATAATCATACTGTACGACAGTACTCATCATCACTCTACGAGTAAGTACACGAATCGAACAAAATTAGGCATCGAAGCGCGAATGCGAATAATAAGAATACGAATAATCACACAAATGCGAACGGGAAGAACAACAATACTACTGAGAGAACTGCCGTACGCCTTGAACGTATCAATTTTATAAAGTCGCCTCTACGCAAAGGCTTAGATTACCAGGCCGTCGCACAGGGAGGTCCATCCGAGGATATCGCCCCCGCCCCGCACGGAGCAATATCTTAGCACCGCACGCGCACCAAAAACAAATCCGCCGATCCGGCGTGTGAGTTTCAAGGAGTCTCAGCTACAGCCTCGAGGCTGAGCTTCAGCCTCTGGGGGGGTCGCCGGGGTGGCTCTGCCGGGGAAGGGGGGGTGGGGTGGGGGGGGGGGGGGTGCGAGTTTCCGGCGAACCCCGGGGCCGCTCCGGGGGAGTGGAAGATAGGGGGGGGGGGGGCGCCATGCTCCGCTTTTTCCGGCGCTTTGGAGGAGGGGGGGGGCCCAAGAGACCCCCAAGGGGTTCCAAGAGGGCCCCGAGTCGCCGAAAAATCGCTCCAAGACGCCCGAGATGGCCTCCAGACGGCCCAAGGTGTCTCCAAGACGCCCCAAGAAGCTTCCAAGAGGCCTCCCAAGAGGGCCCCAAGAGGCCAGAATCGTTGATTTTCATTGGTTTTCTCAGGGTTTTTAGCGTTCTTGCCTTTTCGGGCGTCCGACGCTCGAAGACGGCCCAAGAGGCCCCCAAGTCCGTCCCAAGACGGCCCACGATGCTTCCAACACGGCCCAAGAGAGCCCCAAGACGGCCCAAGAGGGCCCCAAGACGGCCCAAGAGGGCCTCTGGACAGCCCAAGAAGGCCCCAAGAGAGCCCCAAGAGGGGCCCAAGAGGGGGACCACGAACCGAAAGAACCGAGCTTTCCGCCCCAAGAGGCCCCCAGGAGGCCCCAAGAGACCCCCAAGGGGCCCCAAGAAGCCCACAAGAGGCCCAAAAGAGGTTCCAAGAGGCCCCAAAACAGCTCCCCAGAGGCCTCCAGACTGCCTCCGGCAGGCCCCCGGTTTCTTCCGCGGCACCGCCCAGGGCGCCACCGGCAGGATGTCCTCCGTCTCATCGTTTTCCTTCAAGTTATCGCCTCTTCCTCATTCTCCTCCTCCTCCTCTGCGACCTCACTCCTATCCCTCAACGATCGCGTCACCGAGTGCCTCTTCTTTGAAACATCCTCGCTCTTCAAACGCACATCCATACACACATGCATACATACCTACATTTAAACACATTTGCATACATAGAAAAACAATCTTCCAGACATACATACTTACATTCACACACATACACACATATTATCATACACACATACAAACATACATACAAACTAAATACATACATACGCGCACAAGCATACATACATACATACGTACCTACACACAGGCACACATGATCAATGCATGCATACATGCATGCACGCGTACATACACACACATATATCGTGAAACTCACCGCGTGCTCGAAACTTGAGAGAGACCGCGGGAAGTCGAGAGAAGCCGCGGAACGAGGCCTCTACTACTACTACCACTACTACCACAACCACTACTACTACTACTACTACTACTACTACTACTACTACTACTACTACTACTACTACTACTACTACTACTACTACTACTACTACTACTACTACTACTTACTACTACTACTACTACTACTACTACTACTACTACTACTACTACTACTACTACTACTACTACTACTACTACTACTACTACTACTACTACTACTACTACTACTACTAATACTACTACTAGTACTACAGGAGCGTTTCCCAACTAGTATGTGTGTGTGGGTGATGCTGTGTGCGCATGTCTGCGGCGCAGGTTAAGTGGTGTGACTGTGTGTGTGCGTTTGAGTGTGCGCCCATAATTTCTGCGTCTGGAGAATAACCCCGAGCGACCCGGATCGGCGGCACTGGCCGAAGGCCACTACAATAATCACAGCGCCCCCCTTTCCATTAGCATTGCGAATAAAACAACCGAAAATAATAATAATGCGAAAGAGACTCCTTTGAGGATCTTACTGGAACCCCATTGTTTTCGAATGCTATCGGAGTCTGAATGGAAGTCGATTGAAATCCAATTGGAATCCTGTTGTATTGGGATCCGATTGGAATCGTATTGTATTCCTGTTGGCATCCTATTGGAATCCGATCGTATTAGAATTCTATTGCCATTCTAGCTAGGAGTCCTTTTGGAGTCCTGTTGTTTGGGGATCCTGTTGGAATCCCTTTGGGTTCCTATTGAAGTTCTGCTAGAATCCTGTTATGACGGTACCAAATTGAAAGCAGATTGGAATCCTATTGAAATCATGTATACTATGAACATGTACTTGGAAAATTGCCGTACGCCTTGAACCTATCATTTTTTTGTTGTTGCCCCTATGCAAAGGTTTAGATGTCCCGACCGTTGTACAGGGAGGTCCATCCGATGATATCGCTCCCACCCCGCACGGAGCGATATCTCAGCACCGCGCGCGCACAGAAAATAATTAATACCAACGCCCCCCTTCGAATAATACTACGAAACATGATAACACTAGGAATGCGAATCCGAAAAGACCAAGGATAAACATGATGCGAAAAAGAATCCTATTGGCACACTACTGGGTCCGATTGTATTGGGATGCTATTGGAACCCTGTTGAGGTCCAATTGGATCTCATTGGAATCCTGTTGTATTGGAATCCGATTGGAACGTTTTTGCGTTCTTATTGGAATCCTACGTATTGAGATCCTATTGTATTGCAATCCGATTGACATTCTATACTGGGACCCTTTTGGAATCCTATTGGAATCCTATTGGAACCTCATTGGGATCCTATTTGAATCCTATATTGGAATCATTTTGGAATCATGATGTATTGGAATACTATTGGACTATGATCGGAATCCTGTCAGAATCCTATTGTACTAGACTCATGTTAGGGTCCGATTTAAATCCAATTGAAATCAGATCGTGGAATCCAACTAGACTCCTATAGGAATCCTGTTGTGTAGGACTCCGATTGGAATCCTATTGTATTGGTTGGAATCCGGAAGGGATCCTGTTCGAAACGTATATACAGATATATAGGACAACTGTTGGAGTGATAATGGGATCCTTTTGTATTGTATTGGAGTTCTATTGGGATCCTATTAGGATCCTGGTAGAATCTTATTGGAATCACATTGGACTCCGACTGAAATCCTATTTGAATATGATTGGGGTATCATTGGGATCTTACTGTATTGCATCGTTTTGGAATCCCAGTAGCATCCAGTTAGAACCCTATAAGAATCCCAATGGGATCCTGCTGTATTGTATTCTTTGAGGTCCTATTGTAATCCTGATTGAATCAGATTCCAGTACAGCGGGAATTCCATCAGGATTTCAATAGGAATGCCAATCGGATTCCAATACAGCATGACTCCTGTAGGATTCCAACAGGATTCTAAAACAATCGGATCTCCAATAGGATTCCACGACGCCGACGCCGACGCCGACGAAGACGACGACGGCGGCGGCGGCGGCGGCGACGACGACGAATGGGGTCTTATTGCCATCAGATGAGGAGCCGATTTAGACCCCATTGGAATCCAGGGGGCGCCTCCTGGTGCCGAGGTAACGCTTCCAGGGTGCTGGAAGCGTTATCGTTTCACCGGAAGGGAGGGGGGAACTTAAATACTTCCTGAGGTTAAATCTGGGTCGAGGGGACGCGGCGGAGGTTGGAGGTTAATGGAGATGGCCCAGTGTCTACAACTCTCGCGGGAGACTGGCCGCCGGCGGTACACCGTCAACCTGGCTACCGCAGGGAACCTCGTAAAGCTCATAGTCACCTGTCATGGCCGTCGTGAAAACGCCGCACGCGTCATCGGCGCCATTCATCGGCTTACAGTCAACCCGTCTCAGAATGATGCGCGATAACGATTCAAGGGCCTTGGAAGCCCGTGTCGACAGTCCGACACCTTGCGAGCGGGGCGCGGCAAGCGAAAGCGGCCAATGATGGGCCGAAGGGGCAAGGGTGCAAGGGTACCCTTGGGAAGGTTGCCCTTCCATATTCTGCGGGTTGACTGTATGATTGCATGACGCCGTGGGGCCGTGGGTGACCCAGAGCGTCCTCGTCATTGTCGTCATCCTGCCACCCCGTTTACCTCTCGGCCCCCTGCTCCAGGCGAGGCCGCCTCCCCCTCTCGTTCCCGCTGTCCTCCCCGTCAGTCCCCTCGTCTTGGAAGCCACCTGAGATGTACAGAAGGGGCCCGTCCACAAGAGACCTTCCACAGGAAACCCAACCCTGAGACCCCATGACGTCCATTGATTCTTGGGGTGGGAACGCCACGCTTTCCAGCCGTCCACGCCACGCTTTCCACTGAGCATCCCGGGTTGAAGATGGCGATGAGCTCTCGGGGCTCCGCCTGCTCTGGCACGACTTGGGAGGCCTGGAGCTCCTACCGACACAGCGAAAAGCGGCTCCAGTCTCGCCATCCCCTGCCCGAGTCGGGAGCGGCAACTAGAGCAGGAGCACACGGCATCTACGTAAACTTTTGACGAACCGCGCGGATTTATTTGGTCTGCGCTGGACCCACCTGGTGGCGCCTCCGGCGCCGTCCCTGGCGCGCTCCGCGCGCCAGGGAATGGGGTCTGGCTCAGATCCAAGAAACCCGCGCCGACCGTCAAAAGTTTATGGTTATGCTGTTTCTCTTCCCAACGCAACAAGGCCCGGCTCGAGAAGGCCCATCCTGCACAAATGGAAACGGCGCCCGCGTCCAGTCCTATCGCAGGTTCTCGAGGTGCTCGAGCGCAGCCGCACGTGCGAAGCCGCCCACGTGCAAACTTCACCCGTGGCAATATCCGATGCAGGCAGAGGAGCCTCCTCCCATGCCGCCCATCATCGCCGCCATCATCGGGTTGCAGCCCATGCCTCGGCGTGCGTGGAGGAGGATGCGGGAGCCGGACACGGCATCGATGCAGGATAAACGAGACAAAACCTGAACAACAACCGCTCTGACACACGCTGCTGTCAACTTCAGAGCGCAGGACTGGCAAGCCTCAGGGACCGTACAGTGCGGACGCGGCCGCAATCATCCATCGGAAGAGACGAAGCCTTGACAGCCCACGAGCGCGAGATGCAGGTGGGGGCAGCACAGAGAATCCTGAACGCGGCAGCTCCAGCAACGGCCGCAGAAAGTCAACGCTCAGCACGCGGAGCCAAAAACCAAGGGCACCCTGACAGACAGCATCCTCCTCCTCCTCCTCCTCCTCCTCCGCCTCCGCCTCCTCCTCCTCCTTCCCCCTCCACCTCCTCCTCCTCGTCCTCCTCCCTCCTCCTCCTCCTTCCCCCTCCCCTCCTCCCCCCCCTCCTCCTCCTCCTCCTCCTCCTCCTCTTCTTCCTCCTCCTCCTCTGGTATCTTGCTGCGCGTCCCTACGTTCGCCCAAAAGGGGCACTTCACGGCCGGCGCTCGCGCACAAGAAGCGCTCGGTCCTCGGGGCCAGTCTCTACGGACGGGAAAGGGGGCAACACGCCTGGGCCGAGGTCCCTCCACCTCTTGAGCGGGGACCGGCCGCCCCGGCAGTCCTGTATAGGCCCATCGCGAAATGCTCTCAGCACGGAGGAGCGCTCGAAGAACCCGCAGCAGCGATCTCATATCAGGAAGCCGATGCACCAGCACACGACAGTCTCTGGGGGGCCACATGCGAACCCTACCCCTACCCCCCACGACTTCTGAGGGGGAGGGTGGGGTTCACTTCGCTCGGAAATCGTGGGGGGTAGGGGTAGGGTTCGCATGTGGCCCCCTAAGTCTCAGCCAGCAAGGCTCTGAGAACGTGTCGCACAGACCACAACCTCAGAACGCTCTCTCCGGGGGGCCCGTGGGCAAGCCAGACGCCTCGCCACCGCGGGAACCTCGAGGCACTCCGCGCAGCGAGGGCTCGGTCGGGCGTGTCCCCCTACGGGCGGATTTTGGACGACATATAAAAAATCGCCCCCGACTCGACATTTACATCCAGAAATACAAAAAAACGTCCCCCGACTCGATCTGGACGGTTTTTACTGAAATCAGCCCAAAAAAAACAACAAAAGTCCCCCGACTCTTTTTGTTCGACTATTTTTGAACATTCCTCCTGGCGAAGGACAGGCCCGACTTGAAAGCGAGAGCTGCCGGCGAGGAGTTGAGCAGGGACCGACCGTCCCGGCATTCCTATAGTCCTACCACGAACTGTTCGCAGAACCCAACAATGTTCTAAGAACAGAAGCACTGTTCTTAGAACAGAATCCCGATGTGTTCAAACAAGACAGTCCCAGGCAGACATGTTCTAAGAACATGTCGTGGAAACCACCGAAGGTTCTTAGAACACTGTTTGGTAGGGCTATAGGCGAGCCAGGACGCTTCGCGACTGCTTCAGGCGAGGAGGGCGACCGCCCGGCCCCGGGACCGCCGCGGGCCACCTGCCGAGGGGGCCGGGCGACGGCGGGGGGCGCGCAGCTCCCGAAGGCGGCCTGCCGAGGACGCCAACCCAAAACGCTGGGGCGGCGAGTCGGCGCAGTCGCGCCTGCTCGCAGGAGGGAGGAGGAGGAGGAGGAGGAGGAGGAGGAGGAGGAGGAGGAGGATGGGGCGGCGAGTCGGCGCAGTCGCGCCTGCTCGCAGGAGGGAGGAGGAGGAGGAGGAGGAGGAGGAGGAGGAGGAGGAGGAGGAGAGGAGGAGGAGGCGGAGGGGAGGAGGAAGGAGGAGAGGAGTAGGAGGAAGGAGGAGGAAGGAGAGGAGGAGGAGGATGGAGGAGGAGGAGGAAGAAGGAGGAGTAACAGTGAGGGGGAGGAGGAGGAGGAGAGGAGGAGGGGAGGAGAGAGGAGAGGAGTAGCGTAGGAATGAGTTAGGAGGGGAGGAGAATGGTCTTGCGAGGAGGAGCGGGGAGGGGGGGGAAGGGAGGGATTGCGGAGGAGGAGGAGGATGGGGCGGAGCAGTGGATCAGGTGATTGACGCTGCGACTGGAGTATTCACTTGCGCTCGCCGCGCTTGTTGGGCTGCCCCATCCAGGGCCACCCCACTACCAGGGCCCAAACTCGAACCACGCCCGTGGGCAATGTCAGACCGGGGCCCGGGAGCTTCGTGAAAAGGGGGCGCCACCCCTGCCGAGGGCGGCCTGCAGGCCTCCGGGGGAGGCATGCGAGGAGGGAGGAGGGCGGAGCGGCGAGGGGCGGAGGAAGCAGACCTAGGGGAACAAACAGTGACGTAGACGTAACAACTCGGAGGTTCGCGCGGATTCCTCGGATCGGCGCCGATCCGAGACATCCGCGGGGACCTCCAAGTTTGTTGCTTATGCCACTTCTTGTTCCCCTAGGACCTGGGAGGAGCGCGCGACCACGCAGGATCAGAGATTCACACACGAGCCAAAACGAGGATCAGGACTCGTGGTGGGAGGATCAGAGATTGAGAGGATCAAGCATCAGGAAGATCAGACGGGAGCAAGGCCTCGAACAACGACAGCAGTTTGTCGGAGGTTCGCGCGTGGCTTTTGGATCGGCGCTGACCCCCTAGGCCCCCCTGGCGGCGCCCCTGGCGGCGCCCCTGGCGCGCTCCGCGCGCCGCGGATTGGGGGTCCAAATCTGTCCTCCAAGAAGCGAGCCTGGAGTCATCGTGCTGCCATGGGGAACGCACAAGGTGGAGCGGAACGGGCACGCCTGGCCACGGCGAGTCTCGGCCACCAGTGGGCTCCCGGACCTGGATCTGCCGAGCGGCAAAACACGGAGGCCCTCCTGAGCCTGAGGCGGTTCCTGTTCCAGCGCCTTGACTGTACAGTAGAAGCTCGACCACAAGAGACCTTCCACAAGAAACCCAACCCTGAGGCCCCAAGACGTCCATTGACTTGTGGCGCGGGAACGTCACGCAGTCTTCCCATCGCGGAGCCATCGAAACCCACGAAGCAGGGTGTTTCTTGGCATGGGTCTCCAATGCACAAGAGCAGGAGGACGATGAGGGGGAGAAGGAGGAGAAGGAGGAGGATGAGGAGGAGGAGGCAAGCAGGGTGTTTCTTGGAATGGGTCTCCAATGTACAAGAGCAGGAAAAGGAGAAGGAGGAGGAGGAGGAGGAGGAGGAGGAGGAGGAGGAGAAGGAGGGCGTGCAGCGCGACCTGTCCACGCAGCTCGCCCCGGGAAACGCCGCCAGCCTGATGGGATGGTGCGGTGCCCGGGGGAGCCTCCGTTCCGCTCTCCCTGTGGCCTGCGTTCGGCTGCAGCGTGGCGTGGCCGCTCGAGCGCTCTGGCTGGTCGGTCGGTGTTCCACCGCCGCTACCATGGGCAGGACGGGGGAGATGGGAGGTTGGGGAGGTCCACCTCCTCCTCCTCCTCCTCCTACCCTCCTCTCCTCCTCCTCCTCCCTCCTCCTCCTCCTCATCCCTCCTCCTCATCATCATCATCATCATCATCACCTTCACCAGCATCATCATCAGCATCATCATCATGATCATGATCATGAGCATGATCATGATCATCATCGTCACCAATCATCATCATATCAGCATCAATATATTATTATTATTATTATTATTATTCTTCTTCTTCTTCTTCTTTATTTTCATCTTCATATTCTTCTTCCTCTTCCTCTTCTCCTCCTCCTCCTCCACCTCCTCCTCCTCCTCCTCCTCTCCCTCCTCCTTCACGTTGCGCGAACATAGATCAAATGATCGTTGCGTCCTTCCCCTCCTCCTCCTCCTCCACTACGTACGTACGGTAGTGGTGGTGGGGAATCGGCCCAACAGTGGTGCCCAGATCCAGAGGCAAACCCAGACATCCACTGTTTGTTTTGTTTTTTCTCTCTCTCTCTCTCTCTCTCTGTGTTTCAATGAAAACGTGAAACAATAATAAAGTGAAATGAAAAATAAAAAACGAGGTGGCCAAATCGTCGCCATTGCTGTTCGCCGGAGGCGGGCTTCAGGCCCAGGGACTGTCGAACAACTCGGGACGAGTAACCTGGGCAAGAGGTCTAGAGGTCCAGGGGCCCAATCATCGAACATATCGAAACGCCGGATGCCTGAGGGGGCGCCTACAAGAAGGATGCGCCAAGATGCGCTGGTTTACCTACGGGTGCGCCGGGTCAAGTGTGGGTGATGAAATTTTAGGAGCAGTGGCGGGTCCGCCTCGCTGGCTTCCTAGCGCCCAACAACTGCTGGCTCTCATGTGGCGCGGTAGCCGATAGCCACCAGCGTTGCCGTTGCTCGTCCTCGAGCTCTGCAGCCTCCATTGCACCCTTGCCTCTGGCACAGATCAAAGGAGGAACTCACGTCTGCGCCCCCTCTCAAAAGGGAGAGCATCGTCAAGATAGGCGTACGCTGTCGGAGGTCCGCGCGGACGTCTGGCATCGGCGGGGGACCCCCCCTCCGTGGGCGCGCGGGTCCTCCATGGGCAGCGCAAGAGGCGCCACCAGGGGGGGTCCAGCGAACGAACGAACAAGCCGCGCCCTGACGGCGCATCGGCAGCAACTGCAAGTAAAATTAGCACATGTGTGGTACCATGCAGAAGAGGACGCTGCAAAGACGCTGAGCAGCATAATAATTACGCTTCAAAACAATATGTTGAAACAGGGCGGGGTCCAGCGCCGACCCACAGACACCGCGCCGAACGCCGAGCCCTTCGGCCGCTTCCCCAGGCTCTGCTCGCGCGTAGGGCTCTTTCACCACGGAAGTAGTGTTGGGCCCGCCGAGGCTTCGCCGCGTCGCCGCCCGTGGCCGCCGCCTCGCGGCCGCCCACTTCTCCTCCTCCTCCTCTCCCTCCTCCTCCTCCTCCTCCTCCTCCCTCCTCCTCCTCCTCCCCTCCCTCCTCCTCCTCCTCCTCCTCCTCCTCCTCCTCCCCCCCTTTTTCCAAGTTTCCCCCAAAAATTGGGGGGTCCGCCGACGCTTCGCCGCGTCGCCGCCCGCGGCCGCCTCGCGGCCGCTCGCCGCCCCCTCTGGCGGGGAGGCTCCGCCGAGGCTTCGCCGCCACGTGGCCGCCCGGTGGCCGCCCGCTGCGCGCTCGGAGGGCCTGCCGAGAGGTTCCGCGCCGCTGCCGCCTCGGCGCAGCCTCCAGCGTGCACCACGCACACTGCACCGCTCCCACCAGGTAGGCACGCCACATGGCAGTTCTTAATACATGGGATTAAAACATAAATTTTAATGCGTGAATCATTTATGAATAAAGTTCTGCATGACCTCATCGCTGAATACAAAATTCCTGCATGTTTAGTACATGATCCGCACGCCGAGCATGTATCAAAAACAGCACTGTAGATAGACGCCTCCTCGATGGGGGCCTAGAGTCAAGTATAATTAGCGTCGGACCCGCGTTGCCCCCAAAAGACTGCCCCAGCCCTCTCCAGGGGTGCGCTCTGGCGAGAGCTCCGAGAGGCAGATCCGGCCGCGGCGGCAAGGAGGGGCCCTGCTCACTGCTCCCCTCATTTCGGCGCCCACCTCTGCCCCCCTCGCCCAGGAGGAAGAGGAGGAACAGATGTCGAGGGGGAAGGGCAGGAGGATGATGTATCCACAAAGACTGGTAACGCAGAACTCGGGGGCACCACGGCAACAATCACGTGATCCACGTGTGTCAGTCTCCATGGGCGAAATTCACAACATCGGTATGGATGACTGTGCTAATGTCGGGCCAGGCGAAAGGGGGGGATAGCAAAGGGGGGGTTTGAGAATCAGCTCACGTAGCTGATTTTCCCGGCGCCTCCCGGCGCCGGGAGGCGCCCATGTGTCGAGGACGGGGCCCGGCGGCGGGGCCGACACCAGCTGCATGCAACAGACTCCGTCACCCCCTCTTTCCCTATCCCCCCTCTTTCGCTCGGCCCGAGTGTGCTGGGGCATGACTTGCTGCGCTGCTAGCCTTAAGTCGGGCGTGTCCCCGTTACAGGGAATAAAAAATACCCCAAACATATGTTTAAAACAGATATTCCACAAATAATCTGGGGACTTCTTTCGTTGTTGTTGTATGTTTTGATCCTTTTGGAGTATGTTGTTTTTTCGTCGAAAATCCCCCTGTAGGGCTAGCCCCTCGTCGAAAATCGTTTGTTTATGTTTGGAGGTATTGTTTATTTTTCGTCGAAGATCCCCCTGTGGGGGGACAGGCCCGACTTAATGCCAGCCCCCCCCCCTGCCCCTCCCCCCCCCCATGGCTCCTGCGCCTCCCGCTGCCGCCTCCTCTGCCCCACGGGGCGGGGCGCCCGGGGCCGGGCGGGCGCCCGCCGCCGATCTCCGGAGCCCGGGGGGAGGCGCCTGGGCGGCCCGCGGAGGCGGCGCGCGGTCGGGCGCGCCCCCCTACAGGGGATTTTTGTTTTGGACAGCGAGTAGAAAAGCAAAGTAGCCACAAAAATATCCCAGACTGGCCAAGAATAGCCAGGAGATCGTCTCCCTGGAGCACCTTTTTTTCTATCTTGGGATGCTCCTCCTGTAGAGGGACAGGCCCGACTTTTCAGGGCAGTGGCGAGGGGATGGGGGGAGCCCGAGAGCGCCGGCAGCGGAGGCCGTCCGAGGCGGCGGCCCATGCCGCCCAGGCCCATCATCGGGTTGCAGCCCATGCCTGCGGCGCCGCGGCGCTTCGGAAGCAACGTGACCAGAGTCGGAAACTGGGCGAAAGGCTGGCCAATCCGCGGCTGCTGAAACGGTCTTCCCGGAAGAAAAAAGCAGACTCCCGAAATAAAGGTCAGCGCACGAAATAAGAAACGGGCTGCTTTTCAAGAAAAAATCAATTTCCCGGAGCTCCGTTTTAGCAGCCGCGGGTTTGCCAGCCTTCGCCTGGCTTCTGACAGAGGCGCGGGCCCCCACGTGGGCCCTCCCGAGGAGAACGAAGGATGGCACAAACATCCGATCAGCGCTGAGCCCCCCCTGGCGGCGCCTCCGGCGCCGCCCCTGGCGCGCTTCGCGCGCCGGGGAGGGGGTCCAGCGCGGATCCGAGCTTTCATGTCTGCGTCTTTCTTCGTTCCTCCACTCCTGCCGCCGCGAGGGGCGCCCCGGAAGTGGCAGGAGCGGAGGGGGGCCGCTTCTCCTCCTCCTCCTCCTCCTCCTCCTCCTCCTCTTCCTCCTCATACTCTTCCTCCTCCTCCTTCCTCTGCTCGTCCTAATCCTCTTTTTCTTCCTCCTCCTCCTCCTCCTCCCCCCTCCTCGTCCTAATCCTCTTCTTCTTCTTCTTCCTCCTCCTTTTCCTCCTCGTCTTAATCCTCTTTTTTGTGTCTTCCTCCTCCTCCTCCGCACGGCGGGCTGCGGGCGCGCAGGGGTGCCCCCAGAGCCCCTGGAGCTGCAAGCGGCCCCCCCAAGACCCGGAGCCCCTGCGGTGAGCCCGAACGCGGGTGCTCCTCTCTCGGCGCCTCGGGGAGGCCCCGGGCCAGTGCGGCATGCCAGCCTGTGAGCGCCCTGCTCGCGCGGGCCTCGCGGTGGAGCTGGGCGGCGCCGGCTGCCGTGGCCCCCCCCGCGTCCTGGCATGGTGGACTGGCTGTTGAGCCCCCTTCAAGCCGAGAGCCACAAAAACTACGGGCAGAGGCAACACACACACACACACACGCGTTACGACGATTGTTTTGCTTTATCCGGCCTATGATACAACTGCACGACGACGACGATCGTTATCCCGCCTACCTACCCCTCACGCCGCCAATCAACGAAATTCACCGCCGAGGGCCCCGGGACGTCCACTTCATGCTCGGGAGCACCCTGCCCCTTGTCAAGTGTGTGCTTGCGAGGCCTGGTGCACGCCGCAGTGCCTGCGTCGCCGCCTGTCGAACCCTGGGTGCTCCAGGAGCGGACCCGGCCAGCGCCCTCGGCGCCACCGGGGCGGCATGCAAATGGGGGGATAAGTCCAGATGGGGAGAGAGGCGCAACCGAGGTACAAATTGTACCTACGCCCCACGGAGAAGGTACAAGTTGTACCGACGCCACGCAGACAAGGTACAAATTGTACTTTTGACAACGTCCGCGACATGTGCGAGGATGTTAACGAGGGGGGAGAAGGTACAATTTGTCCTTGCAACCCGCAGAGAGGGTACAAACTGTACCCCAACAAAACGGTACCGGATACTCATCCCCCCATGTCCTGATCCCCCCATCGCCATCCGGCCGCGGCCAACACAGCCGAGCACCGGGCGACACCTCGGCGGGCCCAGCCCAGGCGCCGCCGGGGCGCCACCCGGGAGCCAGCGGGCGGCCACCCTATACAGGCGAGACCTCGGCGGGCCCAGCCCTCCACGCTCGGCGCCCACGAGGCGCCCAGGCCTCCAGCGGGGCACCAAGTGCAACCCGGGCGGGCCCACCCGATGACGATCGAGCCAAGTCAGAGCCGCTGAGCGCAAGCGCTGCTCAGCACGGAAGGATCAGAACAGGCAGAACTGCATGCCTCCGAGAGCGCGTGTCTCTGCACCTTTTGGTGTCTTCCGACCCCGAGAGCCCAGGAATGGGCATGACCAAAATGCAAATTCTAATGCCCGCCAGGCAGGATCAACCAACATCGATTCAGGAAATCGGGTCATATCGACCGGAACCTCCGAACAAGCTGCATCGGCACGGGGCAGGAATCAGATCTGATTGGCCGCGCCATGGTGCACAATAGCGCCCGTGCAGGCAACCTGCCGCATCCAGTCGCCAGAACATTGGCACCAGATCGGGTCGGGCTGACCGGAATCGACATAACATTGGATCGGTCAGATCGATATGCACACAGTCGAGAGACAACAACATGCAAACACGTAACCTGTCGGACCTCCGGGAAGATTTCCCGGATCGGCACCGGACTCCCCTCACTGGGCGCGCGAGCGGTGGCCCCGCAGGCGCCGCACAAGGAAGGTCCAGCCGCGGACCTTCGAGCAGTGTACGCTTTCTGTCAGGTCGGGCCTGTCTCCCTACGACGAAAAATAAAAATCCTCGAAACGATTCCAAACATACAGAAATACAACAAATGCTCCCAGACTATGTTTTACATTGTTTGAATAATCCTCCTGTAGAGGGACAGGCCCGACTTAAGCTTACTTCGCTCTTCTTGTTGGAAACTTGGAGGCGGCCTGGGGGTCTAAGCTTGTTCAGCCCTGAGAAACTGAACATTTTCTTAGAGTGGAGGGCTCAGGGTGCAATCCGTATGGGCTTTCGCACCTCGAAAATCAGCCCGCCCTGTGGTTCACATTTTGCAAGTGCAAGCCTCGACAATCCGACAATCCATCAAAACGGCATTTTAGATTTCACAATTTGCCCTCCACTCCAAGAAAATGCTCGGAGAAAATCTGTCAAGGGGGAGGAGGCGAGCCGACATCCGCTCCACACCAGTCTCCCGACCCTCCCGGGCTGGATACCCACCATGTCCTCCGCGCCGCATCCTGCCGTGGCGACGCTGGGGCTCCTTCCCCCCCCACCCCCCCCCCTCTCTGCTGATAAGAGAGCCAGTGCTGGGCCGCCTCAGAGAGAAATAAAAAAAAGAAAAAGACAAAAAACAGTCAAAAAAACACAAAAAAAAAATACAAGACCAAAAAATAGAAAAGCCGAAAAGGAGCAAAACAAACAACAGGAAAAAAAGGGGGAACACACACCCCCCAGCAGCCGATCCCCCTCCTAGAAAAAGAAAACAGTCGCCGTAAACAGAAACTTTTGGGCGCAATTTTCTCGGATCCGCGCTGGCCCCCCCCCCCCTTGGCGCGCGACGCGCGCCAGGGGCGGCGCCGGAGGCGCCGCCGGGCGGGCCCAGCGCGGAGCCGAGAAATCCGCGCGGAGCGCCAAAAGTTTATGTTTACGGCGCTGTTTCTTCTTCGAACCTCGCGAGCCCGCCCCCGGGCCTCCCATACCTCCGCCCATGCCGCACATGCCCCCCATGCCGCCCCCCATGCCGCCGCCCATGCCGCCGCCCATGCCGCCCATCATCATGGCCTGCGCTCCCCCCGGCCCGCAGCGAGGGCGCGCTTTCGCGCGGGGGCCCGCAAGCGCCGGGCAGGGCCCTGAGATTCCTCGTCCGCGTCCTCGCCGTCGTCCCCATGCTCCTCCT